AGTGTAGGAAAGTCTGGTGCATGTTGGGCTATTTTAGCAGTGGATGGGGGTTTTTGGGCTTTTTTTGTGAGTCATAGGCAGTAGAGCTGGAGAGATTCTTATTCAATATGAAAGCCCTAGATACTGCCTCTGCCTGTAACCTGTTTATAAAACTGGATTTCTTAGCCACATGCGGAAGTAAATATTTCTGAAAATGTTGACAACTTCCACTGACAAAACAATAAACTGTGCTGACACTGTAGGGTCCCAGAAAAAGCTCCTAGGTTAACACATGCAGAATTGTCTCAGAATCCTTCCAGGGAGCTGCTTCCACCTTCTGGAGCTCAGAAGGAAAATGTGCAACCAGAGATGGCAGTGTGAGGTCTGGAGACAGGGTGGTTGTGCACACTCTGGCTGCAGTCCTTAACTAATTCAGGAGAAATTTTTCATCCACCCTCAAAGGGCTGTTGTTGGCTCTAGCAGTCTCTCAAAACCACAAAGGTGAAGGGAGGAGAAAGCCCACAACTCATCCATCATGCCATTTACATTGCTACTGTTCTGGGGCCAGATAAGACTACTCAACATTACTGCAGAAAGTAAAGGTTCCTCATAGCTGGAAATGGTCGGGGATGAAAAAGGCAGCACAGCATGTCCACAACTGAAAACTGCCAGTGTCATGCACATAAGTAGTTGTGGGTGTGAATATCTCAATGCCCCTTTGGAATTTTCCCATATACTGTTATTGGCACAAGTTAAAACAAATGCAAACCATGTGCAATCTGAGGTGGATGTAGATTGTTCAATGCACAGAGATTTGTCACTCAAATACTTTTATTCAGTCCCGAGCGTGCTTACTCTTCCACTCACTTGCTCTGAGTGAGGATTGCTTCCTTTGATGGGAGGATTAAAATACTGTAATAACATCGTAGGTAACAGGAAAACAGGAGAGTATGGCTTCAGATTTCTCTATAATTGCCTTTAATGAAGACGTTGGAACAGAATGCTTTCAAGTCTGAAACATGATTCATTTCTTTAAGTAAGCTGAAATAATTCACAAATGTGTTTTATGTGAGTATGTTTTGTGATGGAATTGGGTTTTTTTTTTGTATAATGGTCTAATAATGTCCAAATCTGAAGAATTAATGAGCAGGCATTACACTTTTTTGGTGTTTTTCAGTGACAAAGAAATGGTGAGAAAATCACAGAAGTAATAGTGTCACAAATAGTTTTCAAGAGGTACAGAGAGCAAAGCTGTGCCCTTAGATTTGACTGATCTTGGCACCACTTTTACTTGAAGAAGAGGACTAGTGACTTTTTACCATGGCCAAAGTTAACTGTGATTCCCTCTGCCAAAACTGCAGTCTTGCTACTCTGGAATTCAGTTTTTATTCTTTGAAGCTGGAAAACTGGGGGTGTTGGTAGAGATTCTTAAAGCCCCTGTGTCACCTGTCCCCTTGTTGACAACAGGCTAAGGCTTGCTTCATTGGCCCTGGGGACATGTCTTGCCACAGGAGTGACAGATACAAGACCTTCTAATTGCTCTCCAGAAATACCACTTGTGCTGCTTAATCCATTGCACTTTATTTGTTAGAGGCAGATTACATTTGGGTAAAGATTACAACCTTTCCTAACTTCTGTAGCAACACCAGTGTCCCAGTGCATTGCAGTGTACGCAAAGCCATGTCTACGTGGCTAAAGAGGAGCAGCACCTCTTACACGGGAGTTGTTTGTTCAGATAAATATGTGTAGGAAGAAGAAAAACTTTTAATAAAATGAGACGTTTTGGGTTGTCTGAAAACCTCTTCTCCTCCTCTTTGACAAGGGTAAAAGGGACCAGTGAGGATCAGTGCCTTTTGCAAAGTCTGTCCACAGCTTGCATTCGCAGTACTTAGCTAATTCCTGCTGTGGAAGTCAAAGTTGAAGTTATAAAATACTGTTTAATAAGTATGAAGCTGAAATAAGAAAATGCCTTTGGAATAAATATAACTGCTCTTTCTTGTAAAGATTTACAGGTAGTTTAAAACAATCTGTGCTTGACATGGTAAGTTGTCTTTATCATTAAAATGCTAATGAAATTATAAACATCTGTTAAATTCATGAAGATAATGAAGCTTGTCAGCGACAACTTTTTTGTACCAATATTCCGGCTTAGTTCAGGTCTAGATAAAGATTTGATGGAGTAGTGGTGAGAATCTATTTGATCATTGGGAACAATGCCAGGGTAAAACTGCCCTATTGCATTTGATTTGATGATTTTTTTCATTAAGTGCTTCTACTTGTAATTTAGGGCACCTTGACCTGATAATTCCTTCAGAGGCTTTCAGAGGTGAGTCTGAAAGCTAAACTTCAGTCCAACAAGGTTATTGATATTTGACTGGCAATTGTTAAAGTAGTAAATTGGCAAAATAAACAAACATATTTTTTATGATTAACGCCTTCATTAATCAGTCCGGTAGGTGTATATATTTTCTTTTCTGTGTGGGCTGAAAATGTATTCTAGTCTCCTGGTTATAAATTACTCTGGCAGCAGAAAGAACATGGACTGCAAAACTAGAGAGAGATTTCAAATGTCTTTTTCACATGAAAGATTCTGTGCTCAACCAAGGAGTACAAAGAAGGTTGCATTTTTTTCAGTAGGATGCCTTAAAGATTTTATGCCACATGCTTTCTATACATTGAATAAGGACAGCATCAGGAAAGTAACTTTGATTTCAAATGTCAGTCACAATCAGAGTCTATTCTGTTGGGTTTTTTTTTCTGTAAAATTGAGTTAGAATATGTAGCCATAGCTTCATTGAAGTACATTTATGTAAAGAGAGGATAGGTCTTCTTTAACTTCACAGATCTTTAATTGCTCATGAACTTCAAAGAGAAACTTGCAGAAGTTAGATTGATGATGGCCCTTTAGGTAATTGAATACAACATAGTTCCTGTTTGAATGCAACTCTGAAATCCAAATTATGTAAATCTACAGTTTCAGAACCAGCTAGTAGAAATAATCATTTTTGCAGTTGAAGATACTTTATTTGGATAAATTCTCTGACACACTCCTTTCTTATTGATTCATCTTTTCCATTGTGGATATGAATAAGAAACTATAGGCATGTTAGCCTTTAGCTTTTTGACGTTTGTAACTCCACTTGAATAAGCTTTGACGTACAGTTAATTAGGCACAACTGTCAATTAGTCTCATGGGTTTATGCAGGAGCAAACTTGACATTTATGAAAGTATTGGGATAGAAGAAGGGAGAGAATATTCTGGGAAAGTTTCTCAAGCATATTTTTCCTTTCAAGTTGTGCAGCTCTGTTGGAATGGTATGAAACATTCTCTTTGCATGGCTGTCGTTGACCCGTCTTTGTGCAGTCATGATGCTTTTCCTATAGAAGAAACAGAGAATAGATTACAGCCTGCTATTCATGTGCTAGACCATAATATAATGTTTACTATGCTGCAGCTGAGATCAAAATGACTGTCTCTCCAGCATCAACAAAATTGGAGCTCAGGGCTAGTTACAAGTGTTTGTTCATCCAAAAAATCCATGCAGCCCCATCTGGCTTCTGAACTTAGCTTTCCTCTTGGATACCATAAGATGGGCTTGAAATTGTGTCTGTGGAGACAGGACAGTGAAAAGGAGGAAAATCTCTCTTTTGCCTTCAGTTTTGTGTGTCCTTAACAGGCAGAAAGGGAAATTCCTTAATGGAAGACTGGTGCTCACACAGCCCATACAGATTGCCTGGCATTTTGGCAAGTGGACACAAATGATTTGATTTTATGGGAGAAGAGAAGGAAAGTTGCTTGTTTAATTTTCTAAGCCCTTCTTCTAGCTCCCTCTCAGTCCCCCTCCCCTTCCCTCCTACCATCCCTTTCCTGGCTGGGTTAGAAAAGCTCAGATGTCTTCTATGAGGAAAAGCTCGGGTGTTGTGTAAGCTGTGCTTGAGACAAGGGAAGCTCCTGAGAGGCCTGTTATGCTCCCAGCTGCTGGCCACTGATGAGTGGGAGGAGGAGGTAATTATGGAGAAATTGTGACAGAGGTAGGAGAGACAGAGTGACTCACCCTCCTTTAGAGGTGTGGGACACTTATGTTCCACTGCCTGCTCCTGTTGGTGTTGAATTATTTATTCAATCCAGGAAGGAGACACTGAGGGTTTTTTGGTTTGTGGTTTTGGTTGTTTGGGGTTTTTTTCACTTTGTATTTCAATGAGGGAAATTTTATTTGAAATCTATTTTGTATGGTTTCAGGGGAAAAAAATACTCCCACAGGCATAGCTGGGAACTGTGTGCTAGGCACACTTCTTGTGTGACTAGGGTAGATAGCTAGTTCAAAATGAATATTTGGATGTCTGTGCCTGCCCATTCTTTTGGGATCTTTCTGGGCAATGTTTGTTAAGTGTATACAGAAAAAAAATCCAGCATATAGATTTTTTGTTTGGCGAGCTCCGGTTTATAAAATAGTAAAGAATTGTGTTCATCTGTATGCTAGCTGATTATTTAATTGTTGGCTGTTTTCTAATATTTGCCTTGCACTGTAAAAAAAAGTAAATTTTTACATGTTCAATGAAATGTTGTTTGTGTAGCACCTGATAGTCAGAAGAGGGGAAAAAATAACATGCAGATCACTGTTTGGAAACAAATCTCTGGATTTCAGCATACATGTATTGTCTGTGCTGGCTGATCTGGTAGGCAACCATGAATTGCAAAAGCATCTGACTTCCATGGGCATCCATCCTGGCCTTTTTGGCACAAGATGAATTTTGCAGCTGTAGAAAGGATTTATTCTACCTGCCAGTGTGATTTATATACCATATGTCTTCTCTTCAGCTTCGGAGTATCCATGGCCATAGGGAAGTGCTCTGCCTCGTCTGTACTGTGTGTAAATAGGTTCCTTTTAATGATATTAACTCCTACAGAGCCTTTTCATCATCCCCTGTATAATTTTTTTCTTGGCAGTTTTGTCAGCTATACTGTGTATGTTGCAGAAAGGAGAATACCATGAATTCCTGGTTTTGTTTGCTCTTGGCAGGCACTACTACACTTCCCACCCTTGTGCGCACACCTACCTTGATGATGCAGCCTTCCCTGGATATCAAACCCTTTATGTCCTTCCCTGTGGACAGCAGCTCTGCTGTTGGATTCTTCCCAAATTTTAACACAGTAAGTAAAGGTGTTTCCACATTTAGTTTCAGTGTATGCTTTCCAATCTGGTTCTAATATCCAGTACTGAAGCTGCCTTAAAACAGTGCATTGCTTACACAGTTCTAGGGAGCCCTTTTATTCTCTGCCATGGTGGTTGCTTTTCCCCTATATCAAAGGCTTGGAGTGGTGTCCAGCCTTCTCACTGTGAATGGGGCTGATTGATTTTAACTTTCGTCTCTTGAGGAGGTGTTTGCACGTTGAAAAAAACAACCCTGTGCTATGCTAAACATTTGAGAAATGATAGAATTTTTTGGAGCATTTCTCTGGACATGTGTATTTCTATATGCTGTAAAAAAGGGAAAAATAAAAGCTAATGGACAGACAGGAGTGACAGGTATGACCTAAATCCTACACTGCTGTGAATCAAGCTAAGTTTAATAAAACCAGGAAAGCAACTGGAGGATATTGTTAATTTTGTATAATTTCTACATTAAAGTGTAAAACTGCGCAGCCAGTCAATGTGAAAAATTTGAACCTGTTATTTTAACTCTATGGTAAAGCATCTTGGGGATTTTTTTTTAAACAAACAAACCAAAAAAAAGAAAAAAAAAAGTTGCCAAAATAATACTTGTGGTTCTTCAAGTTCATTGGAGCAGGAATTAAAAAATACTCTCTTCTGTACTTCTCTCTATCAGCTCATAAAAAGGCAGTGAGTGTTATCAAAGTGCTTGGTTGCCATCACATTTTAGCTTAAATGTTTAAGGCAACTGTTGTGAGTCATTTCTGCCCACTCAGCAGGTACAGTGTGTTTGTAGGTGACCGTCACCTGAACTGCTGCACGCTGCGCCTGTCACTGTGGCTGCGGGGGGGCTGAAAGGGGAGCAGTGCCACCGCCACCACGCCGTCACCAGCTGAACCACTGCCAAGTGTTTCCTTTCACAAACTCGCCGTCTGTCTGAAATTAGAACAGCAGTAGCATTATTTCTCCTCGTGCCGTGCAAATCCACCTTGCTGACAGGGCTGGTGCTACAGCACGCGGGGATGTGGGGCGGTTGTGGGGTGACGTGTGAACCAGCATCACTCACGTGACAGCAGCAAATATTACTAATTCAGAATGCAGAACCTGTATGTGAAAAATGTGCCTTTATCAGGGTGATGGAGGGATGTGCATTTGTACAAAAATATGAAAGATTAGAAAAAAAACAGGTACGTTAAAAGAGCAGGCTCAAAACTCAATACCGTATTAAGGAAGTAGTGTGTCATTACCATATCTAGACATGATGCAATTCATATTAATTTTCCAGCCTCTTCCTAATACTCTCAGGAATTTTGTTTGTTACTGATTTGTTTGCTTTCCAGTTGCACAGGTTTTTTAGGTGAGCTTTTGCAAAACAGAACTGAACTGTTTTTCAGAACAGTTCATTATGGGAAACTCAGAGAAACTTTTCTTCAGAGATGTAGTTTTAGATCAACCAACCATTATTTCATTTCTGGTGATATTACTGAATATCAGAGTTGCAGTAGCCTCTAGAAACAGATTAATTTGTATATCTACACTGTTTTTTCCTAGTTTATATTTATCTGGGTTACCTTTTATTTGCCTAATTCCTGACATGTTTATCATTCACAACTGTCATTCCTTTCCAAACTTCTGTAGGTTTGATTAGGAATTAGACCTGGGTTAATTGGCGAACATTGCCAAGTTGGTGTCTACTTCCTCCCTTGGAATTCTTGATAATTATATAAAATTATGCTGCTATACTCCACAGACATTGCATATTTAAACTCTTTATTTTAAGAAACGGTGGTTCAGTACTCCTCTATTTCTAATTTGCAGACTTTGCCATTTATCTTGCAAGTATTGATTTTCCTTAAGAGTCTTTCACAATGCCCTTCAAAGCTCATTGGAAAACTAAATCATTCATGATTATCTACTGACAGGCACATTGACTGCTAGCTGTCATGCACTTCCTTTATTTCTAACTTAGCACAACCTTTGCAAATGGAGATTTCTAGGTTTTTGTGTATGTAGTCTTTTTTTCTTCCCTTTTTCATTCCAAAGTGGTGGCAATAGTATGTGAAAGTGTTTAAAACAATTTTTCCAGAAGATGATTTTGAATTATAGAAGGGCAATCCAGTTGATCCATAGCATATGTATCACGCAAAGAGCCATGACCTTTTATCTTATTCAGGAAGTGAATATTAGAAGAGCCAAAAAAGCCATCATTTGCTTTATGGATCCATGAGGAAATCTATGCACTTCATTCATAGGAGGAATGTCCCTGCAGACAGGGAAATCTCCAGTGTGCTTCCCTTCATCTCTCTGCCTTCCAAGGGACCAAGAGGACCCTTCTGGTGCTGGTTGTGCTTGCATGTGTTCACTGAAGGTGGCAGAAAGAAACAGTCTTGAGACAAAACTTCTTTGGATCCACCTGCATTTTCAGTGGCTGTCAGAGACAAACGTTTTTCTAAACCTTGCCAGGAGGTGGTTTCTAAATGAACATCAGTGGCCTTAAAAAAGGAAAGGTTTTGCATGGGAGCAGTACATAAATAACTACCAAGGCAGAAAAACAAGGTAAAATGTATTAACTATAAACATCTTCAAAGGAACACTCCATACAGTTTTTTCCCAAAAGAACTTCTCTTATTTATGGAAACATATTTAAAATCTGGGATAAACACTTTCTTATTTAGTTGACTTTGACAGTTTTTAGTTCTGAAAACATCTGTGATTCTCCAGATAAAACCTTAGTGTTCCCATTTTGTTTGTGGAAGTGTTTTGATCCCTACCTTCTCTGCACAAGGGGTACTTTCTGCTGAAGCAGTGAGCAGATCCTTATTTTGTAAAAGAAATGCCTACCCCAGTCATATCTTATTTTCTTGATGGAATTGTGTGATTTAATTTAAGCCATCTCCCCTTTTCTTCTCTTTAAATCATCAATAGTTCTAAATATGCTGTGGATGTATGTATAGTAATTGCCAATTCATGCCCCAATTAATTTTGTCTTTGCTCATTAGGACTTATTATGTAGGAAAAATTATTTGGGAAATGATTGTACTAACTCACTGGATATGTATCTGTGTTCCTCAGTAAGGGGAATAAAACTTTTCTGTTTCAACAGATCAGCCAGAAGGGGATCTTGTAAGGGCACGATGAAGGATTCCAAGTGAAGAGATACTGCAGAATAGCTGCTATCTTCCCTGGTCTTTTAATCTCAGCAGAAAGTAGTTTTGTCAGAGCAGTAGAGGCATGATCAGACTGTCAGAGTCTGAGCCTGAGTTGCTGCTAGAAACAGCAGAATGCAGAGCTTGAATCAAATTATCAGCTATGATTACTTAAAGTGTTCTTGTTTGTAAAAAAGTGGGAACCATCATTATAGGAACTTCCCAAATTGGTACTTCCAGTTTGAGATGGATGTGGACCAGAAGGTATTGTTAAAGCAGAGTTCTTTTTTCAGCACACTAAAATGACTCTAAACATGCCTTAACAGGTTCAAAACTTGCATATTGATTACATTCAAAAATATGTAAGTCAAGTATTTCCATAGTCAGTGGAAATCAAAGCTAAGTTTACTGTGGTCCTTATTGTGTGTTTATTATAACATAATTTTGAATTTCACACTTGCTGGCTTCCACCACACAGCTTTACCTTCTGTACCATTCTTTCTCTAAACCTCCCTGATTCTTCATCTCCTGTCATCCATCTTGTGTACTGAATGATGAAAGGATACTTTGTGATCACATTATGGTTCATGTGCTAAAGTGGCTGAAAGCCAGGATTTGTCTTGCAATGTCAAGATCGCTGATCACTTCACGATCACTGTCTCTATCTCCTGATATAAGGGTTGTGTACCCCCAAAAAAAAAGAAATCTCAAAACTTCAGCATATTCTGCCTTGTCCTGAAATGAGAGCAGTGCTACATGACTCACATTTAGTTGAAGTAGTACAGCCAGGGACCTGTCAATCTGCACAAAAACATTATCAGCAGCTTCTCAGATTCTATCATCATAGAAAATAATCAGCAATTCATATGCTTCTTTCTGAGTTTGTTATGGCCTCAGGGGTAATCAAAGATTAGAGCATCTCTTGTAGCTTTCACATTAGTGAAACATTTTGCATCTAACTAGCCCATGATTGGTTTCTAAATGCTAGTTCATACCCTTCATGTTTTAGAGGACACATGGGTTAATGTGGCCTAGTTATTGCTTCAGTGTCTTATTTCTCTGCAAGCAGCTTTATGCTGATTCTTTATATCAGAGTTCTCTCAGTCCCCATGCAAAGTGGACCAGAGATATTTTACATCTGCCAGTGAAGGTGAGCCAGCTGGAATGTGCTACAGGAAGGGAAGAGGAGCTGACTAGTAACTCAGTCAGAAATTTCTGACTCTTCTCCAACATTAGCCCTGCCTGGACTAAGTATCCCTGGCCTACCCCCAAGACAACTACAGGGAGGAGCTAATATTCTCTTTCCTCTTCTGCATTTTCAATTATTACTCACATTTTTATTTGCCTGTCTCTTTCTCATTTGAAGGTTGCAGTAATCACCAAGGCAGAAGCTGAGTTCAGCAGATAAGAGCACAGGGCACCCCTATCACCAGCTTCACTCGCCCCTCTGTGCCAAGTGCCTCTTCTGCCTTTTTGGCAGGACACTGTGGCTTGGGAGCTTTCTCTTTCCTTAGCAGGGTCTGAATTCAGCCACTTAACACCCTGCTGCAGTGCCAAAGTATGCTTTGCAGCACAGGATTTTGTATGGCAGGAACAGATTACAAATGCAGCCAACTGGATGTTGCCAACCTGTTATCTACCATCCTTTTTGTCCAAGTACCCTGTCCCTGTGCTCTGAATTCCCTTTTTCTGGAGTGCTGGAGAGAAGCGACCTTTTCTGGTCCTCTGGACCTCTCTGACTCCAGAGAAGAGGTAAAATTTTTTAAGAGCCATACTTTACATTCATTAACTGTGCAGAAAGGAAATTTAAGCAATTGACTTAGGAGTGGTGTTTTGCAGGGTAGCTGGCTATT